ATATTTAAAACTACTAAATTTGTTAATTCTAATTTAACAGAATCTGAAAAAAGATAATTATTGTTACAAGAATATTATAGAAATGACAAAGCAAGAAATGCTATCAAATAATTATATAATACTAATAATTAATATGAAGATGATAATTAAGTACCTGAATTATATACTGAAACACAATTAATCTTACCTAAAATTCATGCCTAAACTACTTAAGTTTTTGATGAATCATTACTTAGGGATTTATAATCTATGAAAAATAGAGAAGATGAAATTACTAAAAGATTATAAGCTAATGAAATTACATAAATTAAAAATCCTTCTGATTATTAAAGAATGCTTGAAAATTAAACTATATTACCTATTTTATAAAGTATGAAGAATGAAGGTTAAAGATCAATTGTTACTCCAATGGAAAATCATTAATAAATAGAATCAGCTTAGAAAAAATTAAGATCAGAAGGTGATTCTGCTTAAATTACATTTATTAATGAATATGAACAATAAAATTAGGAAATGTAAAACACATAGTAATAATTTGATCTTGATTTTACTGGAGAACATTAAAGAACTGAAGAACTTTTATTAAATGAATCAGAAATACCAAAAGCATAAGAATAAATGTTTGAATATGAAGAATAATAATCATTTTAAGAACCTTAAGATCCTATTGATGAAAAAATTGATGAATTATTAACAAACATACAATAAATTGTTACTCAATAATATTAACCTCATTAATCATTATAAAAAACTAATAATGCTTTATAAAATACTTGGAAATTGACTATTGAAAAAGATTAAATAGCAACTAAATAAAGGCCAAAAGATTTCAAACCAGTTAATTTTCTAAAAAAACCTTTAGTCTAATAAGAACCAATACTTTATAAACCTTTAGTACAAACAAAAAAACAATAGGTTCAAGAACCATTGCCAGATGATAATTTTGATAGATTAGATAGATTAATTTAGCATTTAGAAATTTGAATTTATAACATTATATATAAGACTTCCATCTTAAACATTATGATATATCAATTTAAAATCATTTATTTGTTTTTGGTTTGAACAATAAAGATTATCCACTAGATTTCTTAACTTGAGGTAATCTATCAATTAATTTTTAGATATCTTTTTAATTATTCATATCCTCTTCAATTTTTGTTTATTATAAAGTATTTTTTAATAATGATCTCTTTCTATTTAATAATGGATCTTCTTAAGTCAATTCTTTTTTATCAATAATTCTGATATTTGATTTAGACAATTTTTCTTCTTAGAAATTCAGTTATTATTTAAGTTTATCATATTCAATTGATAATTGCTTCTTTTCTTATTATGTTCTATGGAAATTTAGTTTATGAAAATCTCGTTATTATTTTAATTTTTATAGTGTTATTGAAGCCTTTTCAGACATCAATTGTGATCTTTCTAGTTCTCCTTTTAAAAATAAGAGTTCATCCTTTAATTTCTCAAACTACACATAAATATCTGGAATTGCATTGATACTATTAATGTGAAACATAGTTGACTTTGTTAATTCTGTCCATTCTTCCTTTTATTTTTAATATATTTACTTAAAATATTTCTAAACTTCTATGTAATTAATATTTAACAAAGAAATTGCAAATAAATTAATCTAAGCTCTCTCCTCTTTTTATTTTATTTTAATCTTACTAAGGAATCTATTATTTAAATTCAATCTCTAAGATTTTATGGATATTTTATACTTTGTATATCTGCAATAATTTTATCTAAATCATCTAAATTATCATCATTATAATTTAAATCATTTAATTCATCTAATTTTTCTAATTTTATTGAATCCATAGAATAGTTATCTGAATCAGAAATATCTTATTGACTCATATTATAATTTTATATTATTTATTATATTAATATTAAAATACAATAGAATACATTTATTAAAAAAAAAGTTATATACTATTACAATTTCCAATTTACCATTAATATAATAATAATAAAAGAAAAAAGAATAAATATTAATTGAATTACTTATTAACAACAATAACATTAAATTATAAATCATTCTGTTTCCATTTTGCTATTATTATTATTATTTGCCTCATTTTCTTATGGTTAATTTTAAGGTTGAGGTTCTTCAACTTTCTTATCTTCTTTTGGTGGTTCAGGTTTAGGTTTGGTTACAACTGGTTAACATTTCTAAATTGTTAATATATAATATTTACATCTCTGAATTCATTATATTTAGTTTAAATTTATTAAACTGAAGTTGTGAATCTGACAGTTTTATCTGCTTTACTTAAAGCATCCAAAACTTAATTGCACCATAATTTAAAAGCACTCACTTCATTTGCAACTACTTATCTTTCCTCAGGTGTAATATGAGCATATTATTATTCCTATTATATTTAATTAATATAATTACTTATGAAGTTACAAAACTTTCATAATTGGAAGTATATTGTAATACTTATTGAATAGTTTCAGGAACTAATCTAAACTCATCAGCAATTGTGACTATTGGACCACATAATTAAACAAGTTTATCATATCTATCAGAATACTCTCTCTTTGTAGTCTTTTGACCATCACCATAAAGCCATTCATATTACACATCTAATTCCTTAAGAATTTAAGCTTTAAGATCTGGTCTAACATGTTAAGCATATTTTCCATTGACATTCTCTCTCCAAGCATATATGTAGGCTTCCAATTGATTCTTCTTGAAATGGGTGTCATGAACCAATTTATCTTAATTTTACATTTCACATTCTTATTAGAATAATTGATCAATTTCTTTTTTAGACAAACTATTCAAGGAAGTAATTTCACAATTAATTTAGGTTTAAATAGTTTTCTTCTTTTATTTAATTTCAAATTGTGGTTCTTCTGGTTTTGGTTATTCTTATTATACAGCTTCTGGAGCTGGTTATTGTGGTTCAGCAGCTTATGGTTATTATTATTATTAGGCATCAGCTGTTGGTTTAGGTTATTCTGCTGGTTTAGGTGGTTCTGCTGGTTTTGGTTTTTCAATCTAATAAATTAATTATATATATTTAATACAGGCACTTTCACTTCTTCCATAAATTCTTCTTATAATACAATTTCTTCTAATTATAATAATCCATTATGATTCAATAAGATTTTGATTTTAGTTGAATGTTCTTAGTGTTTTGGGTTTTGTGGAGGAACACGAATTTATTCTAAAAAATATTATAAAATAATATTACATAAAATAGCTTAGAAACCTTCAGGTACAGGATCATAAAAGAGTGTAATTTCAATTGGTTCAGTTTTTAATAGTGCAAAACTCTTAATTGATGGAATTGCATTATTTTAATCAAATAAGACTTTACATTATTTTTCAGGGAAACATCTAACCAATCCTTAACTTTAGTCTTATTAACTTAATTATTATCCATAGAGCCAACCTACTCTAACTGGATAATAGTTGCAATCTTCAATTTTATATTCAGTGACTTTGAAATTTGGACTTTTCATAGCTGCCATCATTGCACAACCTCTAGATATTGATTCACTTGCATTCAATGTTCTAGATACTTATTCAACTTTGAAGATCTTTTCAATTAATCTTTAAACAGCTGGAATTCTTGTTGCTCCTCCTACAATTTCAACAGAGTGTATTTGTAATTTTAAATTCTAAATTTAACTAAATAAAAATTCTAATTATTATTGAATTTAATTTAAGACTGATGGAATCATTTATTCAAAATCTTCTCTCTTTATTAAAGTATTGAAATCTTCATCTTCTACTAAATATTCTACATTAATTGGAGCCTCAGAATTAGCTGATAAGACTTTTCTAGCTTTTTCAATAGCTTCTAATAATCTTAATTTTCCTTTAAGATTTTTTCTAACATTCAAACCACCTGATTATTATTCAAATTGAGTGGCAAATTTTTCAAATAATAACCAATCAATATCTCTTGCACCTAGATTTCTCTCATTCACTTAAGCTACTACTTAAGCCTTTTCTTTATAGAATGAACCTACAAATGCTGAAAATTTTGAATGTCCAAAATCAACAAATACAACATGTCTTGGTTTCTCAGCATCCAAATCTGCTTTTCTAAATAGACCATAATTAATAGCAATTGCTGTTGTTTCATTAAGCAATCTCTCCAAAGGAATTTCAGCTATCTTACAGGCATCAATCAAAGCCTTTCTCTCTGATTCTGTATAATAAGCAGGCACACTGATACAAAAATTACTTGCTTGTACATTTATATCATTGTGAGCTATAACATGTTTTAATTTGTTTAACATAGAACCTGTCAATTACTCAGGAGTGAATGTGGTCTTCTAACCAAGGTAATTTACCTCAAATAATGTTTTTCCAGAATCATTAATTGATGTAGGAACAGTCAACCATTTTGTCTCTTCTGCTCTAAATGTAGGTTCACCATGTAATCCTAAGAATCTGTTGAAAAAAGCAACAGAATTTTTGAAATTAGACTTTTGTTATAAGGCTCCTTATTCTCCAATGAATCTTTCTTCAACTGTGAATCCTATCACATTTTATGTTTCTCTATGTGATCCTTCATTGTCTAAAACCTTCACACCACCCTTAAGTGCTGCGGCGATTACAGATCTCTAACTACCAAAGTCAATACCAATAGAAGCAAGTTAAGACATTAATTAGTTTAAAATTTTCCAGAATCAGCCACTTATAAAACATCTATAAATATGCTAGAATATTCTATAATTATTAATAAATTAACGTATTTATCTGATCAACATTCAAGTTTAAGAAATGTTCTAATTGGCATTCTTTACATAAATTATCTAAATTTATCATCTTATCAAAGAGTAGAGCCATAAATAAAAATAGAAAAAAAATCAAAAAATTTATTTTTATCCATTTATGTACAAAACTTTATTGATCAATCTCTAAATTTATTTATTATGTCTCTATCTTATAAATACATAAATATATTGTATTTATTATTTAACATATATTAAATATATAGATAGTTTGAATAGTAACTAAACTTAATTCATTTTTTTGTTTTTAAGATGCTTTTCTTTAATGGAGGAGGTTAATGTTTAGGTAAAGATATCTTACCAACTGAAGTTTTTGGAGGCGCGTATATTTTTCCAACAGAAACACTTTTTTATCTAATATTGCTTGTTGTATTTTCTTTGTTTTTATACTATAAGGCTTTACTAAACCTAGACTCCATTTCATTAAATTTTTACTCCATCATTTTAAAGGAATTTAATACCATTTCGCTGAATTCTAAGAGTGATCCATCAAATGATTACCCAGATATCGGTCTTATTGCGATTTCTCTTACAATGTATTTACTTTCACTTCCATCTCTTTCACTTCATTGGCCAAATCAATTTATTTCCCTAAATCAAAATCATCATCAAACATGTTAACTGAAAATATAAAAATATTTAATAAAATAATATCAACTGCAAAGTGAAATAATTTTACTTAAACCTTCTTCAAAATTGGCAAATAATTCAATATAAGTTCCATCTCTAGCTTCATCTGTTAATCTATAAAATGTATTCCTTTGATTCATAAACTTCTTTTCTTATGTACTACATAATACAAAATGCCAAAATCCATCTCTTAATTTTTCCAACAATTCAACTAATTTATCATTTTATTCAGCATAATTCTCCCCAAAAGTCATTACAATTAAATAATTAGTATATTTTCTTGGAACACCTTAATTTAAAGATTCTAAAATTCCTTAATATAATTTTCGTTAATTTTATGTCTATCTCCCGCTTAAATAATCAAAAAACCCATCCTCCATATAATTTTTACCCATAGTTTCTAATATACTAATTTTTGATTAAGATTCAATTAATACATGTGTATATTCATCAAAAGTTGATACTTATATTAAATCATCATCATTCATTATTTAAAATATCTAATTATTATAATAACTAATACTTATTTAATAGTTTCTACAACTTCAAGTTAATTTTCAGCCATTCTTTATGTTGAATCAATTAAAAATATAAATTATCTTTTTTAATTCTAGAAAAAGTATTGGAGTTATTTTAAAATTTAACTATCAGATCTAAATTTCTCTTATTTAGCAAGTAATGAAGATAACATCTTAATTGTTTTTACTCTTAATTTTGTTTAATAAACATTTCCATAATCTAGAGCTAACATTAATTATTATATTGCAGGCTATAATTAACCACTAGACATATAAATTAATCCTCTATAAAAATAAATTTTTTATTGAACAACTTACAATAACTTTTTGTCTTAATTAAATGTTTTATTTTAATAAGATGCATTCTTACTTAAAGTATAATTTTATTACAAAATTAATTAAGCTTAATCTATACATTATTCAGCTTCTTTTATCTTTCTAAGATTGAATAGTAATTTACATTTTTTAAAGAATAATTTAATTTATAAAGTGAACTTAATCTCTAAAGTGTCTGCAAAATCCATAATATTTGAAAATAATGTTTTTGCTTAATTAAAGGCATTTCTATCTCTACTTTTATTTCTAATTAATAATTTTGATAATAGATCTAATAATTAATTTAATGATTAAAATAATTTGTAATTTATTCTCATAATCTCTTCTGATTTAATTAATTAAATATCTTTCTTTTATTATTCAAGTATAGAAATTAATTATTTATTGTATGTGATTGCAGTCTCATAATCTTTTTATCTACTATGTTCTGAAACTAATTTCATTAATATTAATTCTAAACATTCAATAGAATTTCGTTTCTCAAAAATATGTAATCCTTATTCTAATTTTTATAAATCATGAACCTTTTTATTTAATTGATTTAGAAATTCAATCAACCAACAAAATTCATCAAAAATTTATATTAATTCATTCAATTCAGTTAAACTACTTTTTTAGTTTTCTTTAAATGTAATTAAATCTTTATGTAAAGTATCATAATCTAATTCAAAAAACATTTACATCATCATTGAAACTTAATTTAATGTTATACTAATTTAATCAAATTCATTCTATGTTATAATATTGACTAATATTGGAGTCAATAATAAAAATAGAATGAAAAATTAAAAAAACAGAAAGAAATCAAAATAATCTTCTTATTTGGTTTCTACTAAATTTGTGAATAATTAATTATTGAATGTAGCAAGTAACTACCATCTATTAAAATTTTATTGGAGTGCAATTAATTTATCTTACTCTTCTTTAGTTTGATTCAATAGATCTTCCTTGTATTCTGAAGAGAATTCATCATTCTAACACATATCTATAAATAATTACAATGTCATAAGTCCCAATTTTAATTGATTAATAAAAATAGACCTTAATATCTACCATAGACAAACTTATAATTGGATTAGATGATTCATAATAACGAGTTAATGAATGAATTTAATTATTCCAATCAGTTTTTTCTATACTTTCTAAAAATTCAACAATGTCATTATTATTTTAATCATTTAAATCCAAATTATTTAATTCAATAACTGGATTACATTTCAAATCAACAGTGAGACAATCATCACTTACATCAGAAATTACTGAATTATTTATAGTAAATAAAGTTGTATATAATATCCCTTCTGAATATTTATACTCTGCTAAATCCAAAATAAAACATTAATATAATGAATCATTAACTAATAATCCACAAATTTATATCAATTAGATATTAAATGGAAACAAAGTATAAAATACAACTTGATCTTTATTTTCATTTTTCATATATTAAAAAAGATCAAAATTACCCTTATAATTATTAGAGTTTTCTAATAATTAACAAAATTTTGGATTATTAGTGCAATTAGGTCTTGATTTAAAATCATATTTATTTAAAGTATTATTCGATGCACATAAACTTTCTGAATTGAGTTATATCACATAATATGGAAGGTTTGGAATATATATTTAAGTTAATTCTTCAATCTAAGCAATTTAAGACCTTTCTTAAACTGTAAAAGTTCCTGTAACAGTTTTTAAAGTAGAATTTTGTTGGGATATCTCTTATTAATTAAGAGCCAACTTAGAGATGTTGAATAAAAATCCAATTGAGGAAATTGTTTGTTACAAATCAATACCTGTTAATGTAATATTAGCTTACATTATTTCAATAATAGTTTCATTATTACTGGATATCTGAGCTAAGAGTGAATGAAATATATATACAATTAATCCAATACATTACTAGAATAAATAATATGCTTAGACTAATAGTGGTTTCAATCAAATCGGCTAAGAATATAGTTTATGTGACAATTAGTTTAAAATGATGTTAAATGTTTGTCATTATTTTTTAAAATGAATAAATATATAAATTGTTTATTGATAATCAATAATCAAATAAATTAAATAATAAGAACATGTTTTATCTATATATCATATATATTTCTGATATATGTAATAATTAATAGTTTTTATATTAATTAATCATATAGTCCATCATAAAAATTATTTTTAAGAATGTAATATTTATAGATGTTTTATGAATTTCTCTTTTATTTTTTATTGTCTTTTTTAATTGTGAAAAATAGTTTTACAAATTCTTCATTATTATTAAATGATAGATACTGGATTTTTGGAACAAAAGATGTATTATTTATATTAACCTATATAATAACAAAAATAAAAAAGGATATAAAATCAATAATAGAAAAAAAATATGGTAGATATTTAAAGGTGCTTATATTTAAACTTTTTATTTCCTTTTAAATATTAGATTGATAAATTCTTTTTCTATATATTACTTGTTTAATTTTGAAAAAAGGGAATGAAGGATAATATTATTTATGAATGAAACATATGGATATGAAGAAATCTTTTATATATTAATAGGTCATTCTTTATTGTTCTATAGTAAAGAAAGAAAAGAAAATCAAATAATAAGATGTAAAATATATACATACAATTAAAAAGATTGAATCTTTATAATTTTAATTACATTATAATTGTGTAAATGTATTATAATCATTAGAAAATTCAATTTATTTAATTGACTATGTTATCGGAAAATAAAATGTTTCATAATTAATAATATTAATCAAATCCAACTTTCCAAAAAAATAAATTCAAAATTCTATATATTGTAATATGATAAATCTTTAAAATCTTTTAAAATCTTTCCTTCATATCTTAAACATTAACAATTTATAGGTAATTAATAAGAATCCTCTATTTTTTTTTTTAGCTCATAAACCTTACTATTTGGATTTATTTTTATAGTGAAATCTTCAAAATCTTCACAATCAATAATTGTAATTTCATATGATTTTAAATTATTGAATAAATATAGTTTACTGTCTTCTTCAATATTACAATTCATTATTTTCAAATCATTTTCTAATTCTTTTCCTTTATAAAATAAGTGCTATCTATGAATTGGAAATTATAATTTTGATTAAATTTCCTTTTTGATATCTTCTATTGTTTCATATTATTCTTTTTTGATTTGTAATGTTATTTGTTAGGTTTCAATTGAAAACTTTATATATTTTTTTTCTACTATTTCTATTACTGATGAATGATTAATTTTATAAAATTATACAAGATTTTCATCTTTTAATATTTAATCTTAGTAAATTAGATGATATTCACCTAAATCATTAAATTTTTAATTCAATTGTATTTTTAAATCTTTAATTTTCTAATTTAAATTTAATCTTTTCATAATTTTTCTATTTTTTTATGCTTATTTAATGTAAATAAGATTTTCCAATTTCAATACTAAAATAGAATGTTTTTGTATTTTATATTAATATAATTTGCCATTGTTTTATAATTGTTAATTCTTGAAATATAATTCTTATGAATCAAATGGATAATCATAATTTAAAGCTAATTGATATTTTATTTCACCTACACAATCATTTAGATTTACATTTATAAGATGTCTTTAATTATTGTATATTACAATTATATTATTACTACTACTTATTTTAAGGTGCAAAGTTGAATTTTTCTTTATAGTCTTACTATTAATTTTATTTAAAAATTAAGGACCCAAATATAATTTCTATCTATTAGGAGGTATTCCTTCTCTTTTTTAAATTAAATCAGTAATTTATTGCAAATATTCAATATTATTATTAACATCTAAAGAGAGAATTCTTCCACTTGGAATTTATACAAAAATTTATATTTAACTATCATTCTCATTAAATATAGGATTTTCAATATTACTTAGTGTTTCCTATTATGAATATGTAATTCCATCTATTTAATTATATTCCTTATTAAATAGATTAGAGTTATGTTGACCTATAGAAGAATCATGATCTTCATATGCTTCTTTAGTAAATTAATGACTTGTAGTTTGAGTTTATTAGATGTTTAATGCATTAATAGAATAATTGTTTTTAGACATTTAGATTAATTCGTTCAATTTTAATATTTATTAATAAAACTCATCATAATCCTATGTCATCCTTAAAATTCCAAATATTTAATAAATATAGAATTCTGACTAATAGAAAATCTCTGGCCATTTAAATTGAGGCTTCTACTACATTTAAATGAGAACCCTCTACATCTTCCCATTTTACAGGTACTTCTGAGACAGGAACTTTGTATTTTTATGCAATCATAAATAACTCTACATCAAATGCCCATCTTTCTAAATGTAATACTCTAAATAATATTGCTGATGTATTTTTTGTAAATAATTTAAATCCACATTAAGTGTCCTTTAATCTGACTCCACATATAGTATTAATAATAAAATTAGAACAATGCATTAAAAAGTTTCTATACCATTTTCTTTAAACAACAACATCTTTCACTAAATGATTTCTTGAACCTGCTACCAATCCTAATCCATTTTATGTTATTTTTAATAACTATTATATTTTTGTAATATATATTTACTTCTTTTGATAATTTCTCATATTCATTTAAATCTGTAGCTAAATCTGCATCCATCATTAATTAAATATCCCCTGCTGCTGCTAACATACCTAATCTTACTGCTCCTCCTTTTCCTCTATTCTTATTGTAAGTAATAATCTTAAAGTTTTTATTATTTATCTAATATTTCTTAGCTACTTCTAATGTCTTATCTTTAGATGCATCATTTATGATTATTATTTCATATTTATAATTATTAAAGTGCTAATCAAATTGGAATTAATGTTTACTTTAAATGTAGCTTCTAATGTTCTTCCTAATCTATTTTATTCATTATATGATGGAATAATTATGCTTAATTAAACATCAGATGTATTTTTATATGTGGAATACTTGTATTCTTTTCCATCACAAATAATCACTATACTATCATCCTTTTTAACTGTTTTTTATTGATTTTTCCAATTAGTATAAGGTGTGAATAACCACTTTAATCCAATTAACAACCCAACAAAAATAAACAATAGAAATATTTCTAATAACATTATTTATTTTTTCTATTGTTGATAATATATTTTTTATTATCAATTTTTTCTTAAAATTACGTGTCTACTTATTATATTAAAACAAATTTCATACAAAATTCATTAACATTTGAACATACTACTAGTATTACTAAATATATAAAAATATATAAAAGATGTGTACAATATAGATTAAATATATTATATAATAAAATACAGAATAATCAGCATTTATAAAATAAATTATCTTTAAAAATGAAAAGATTATCATCAATAAGTTTAATTAAGTGAGCCTCAATGGCAATCTTTACAATATTCCTCATTTAAGCATCATTTAAATTTGGATATACAATTAATATAATTTCATCTACTGATTATCCATTAATTGCTTAATAAATCTATTATTCTCTATTTTTTCTATGCTAAATTTAATTCTATATTGCTTCTTATGCTCCTTCAATTATAGAATATCCATGACCTGGATATATAGTCTTTCTATAGGATTATGAAATAATAAATTATATATTCATTTTTTCAATTTTTTACATACTTTATAAATTCTATTTAACATTTTCTATGAAACAAGAAGGACCTCCAACATACAATCTCCAGAAAACCAATCTTATTAATAGGATATGAAACCAAAATGATCAACAAAATGTCCTGGTTAAAATATAGCAGTGATTGTAGAATTATCAACTTAAAATATTTATCCATCTTTAAGTGGATTATAAGGATAGAGGTTATCATTTTCTAAATTATGATCTAAATTTATGTATATTTTAGCATTTGGACATAATTCAAGTACTTAAGATATTCCTCCTATATGATCAAAATGATGATGGGTAATAAGTACAATTGAAATTTCACATTATTCTTTATCTAAAATTTATTTTAAATGCATTTTGTATTGTTCTTTAACTTCACCTGTGTCTATTAAAATTCTTGTCTTTCCTGTTCCTAATAAATAAGTATTGGTTCCTTATAATGTGAATTATCCTGGATTATAACCAGGTATTAAAATCATAAATAAAAATAATGACAGACCCCATTTTTGGAGTTGAGATAAGTGAATTTGTGGCTAATCGTCAATATGCTAAAATTCAATATTTATAAGAGGAAAACAAACAATTATAAGATTAATTGAAGGATATGGAAAAAGCATTAAAATTGAATAAAGAAATTCTTCGTTTAACACTTAAACAAAAGTATAAATACTTTAATATTAAATAAGTCTAAACAATTCAACTAATTCAACAAATTCTAGTGAATAAATAGAAACTATTCAATTGTAAATGAAATTACATGAAGAAAACGAAATGCTCAGAAAATAAATGAATAAATTGACAGATGAAAGAAATATAGCTCAAAATAAAGTAAGTATTTCAATAAAACATTAAAGGTTTTGTTGTAATAGCAAATATCTGAAGAAAATTAAGCGTTTTATAAAGATCTAATTATTGAATTAGAAGAAAAGCTAGCTGAATTGAGAAGATGCATCTAAGATAAAGAATATACAATTTAAGACATTGAAAAAAATAGAGGTTTGATTGATAATGGATAGATGGTAAAAATTAGAGAGATTGTAACACCACATGAATAATCATTACGATTACATGAAGAATTAGAATCTACTAGATAAATTTTAAATAAAATATCTCAAGAATCACAGAATTTACAAGAATAGAATAAATTACTTAAGGACCTAAATTAAGTATATATGATGTTTTTATTATTAGAATTTATAAAGAGAATTACTTAAAAACAAAATTATTTTAAGAAGTCCTTTAGCATATTATAAGATGAAAAGTAACAAAATCTCTATAAACATAAGACATTATTTATAATGATGATTCAGGTCATTCTGATGATAATCTATAATATCATTATCAAGTCTTTTAGAATTAAAATTTTAATCAAGTTCCAAATGAAAAAGATCCATAAAATTAATTTGATTTGGGTGGATTCTAATAATAATAACCAAGTAATATGAAATATATGACTAATAATGAAAGGTACTTAAATAGATTTAAATATTTAGAGCAATTTATTAAGAGAAATTATAAAAAACTGAAGCTTTATTAAAAGGATATAAAGAATTATTTGAAAAAGAGAAAAATAAAGTAGCATATTTAATATAAATAAAAAATGAAATGGAAAAAAAAATAAATGAATGTTATAATTATAATGAATAAATAATAAATGGAATTAAAATAAGAGATTAAAAAATAGAATAATTATAGACTGAAACTTAATATTATAGAACTTAATTTGGAAATTATATTGATTTTCTAAAAAATAAAAGAAAGATTAATTTAAATTTATCATTTTAATTAAAAGAACAAGCCAAAAATTTATAATAAACACCACCTCCAGTATCAAATACTAAAATATTAACTGATTTTGAAAAGGATCTTGATGAAGCTGAATAACATATTAGTATATTAGAAGATCCAGTTGATGATCCTTCACCTGATATTAGAAAATTTGATGACTCAGATCCTTAATCAAAATCCAAAAAAAAGATTAGTAATATTTTAGAACCTTATTAATCTTTAATGAGTTAATAAGAATGCAAATAATTTTTATTAAATACTGCAAAAGACTTATTTATCGAATATAATATAAAGATGAATAATTTAAAAAAAAAGTAACTTATGGATCCCAAAAAATGCATAAAAACTAAACCTATTTGGCATGCAAAATCATATAGTGATCCTTTAGATTACTTTACCTTACAATATCATAATCTTTAAGTTTCTGGTTAATGTGAAATCAATCATAGAAATAATTTACAAAATTCTCAAATAAAAAAATAAGGTAAAGAACATTAAAAGTAAAAAGATAAATGGGATATTGATTTAAATGAATTATCTATTATTTAAGGAGAGAAAAATCAATTTTATCATTGAAATAGATTTAGATTAATAAATGACAATTGATATATGTGATAATTAATTATTATTAAATATCATAAAAGATGATTATTAATTAAGTCTTCTTCATCAATTTCATGTTCATCATCTATAAATATTTATTCAACAAAATAATAAAATTTAAATTATTATTTACTTATCCAAGGATGTTTCAGCATTTATGAAGCTGTAGCTCTTTTATAAGGTATTACATTCAACATAGGTTATAAAAAATCTGCAAATTAATTTGCTTCTACTTTATTAATCTAGTATCTCTTTATTTTCAATATTCTTACTTCTAAACTAAGATTTATTCCAAAGTATAGTATTCACTCACCTTGAAATGTCTCAACACCCCATTATGTGAAAAGTACTTTTTGCAATCTTTTCCAACACATGTAAATTCAATAGGAAATGGACCTAAAACTTATTAGATATAAGCTAAATGTGTTAATTCATCATCATTTTCAATATCAAATAAACTGTCTCCAGTAATCAATTCAAATGCAATACAAGCTAAACTCCATATATCAGCAGATGTTGTATAAAACTATCCCATAATCACCTCAGGAGCTCTGTATTACAATGTTTGAATCTTATCATTGTTATGATGATTAATCCAACAAGCCTTACTAAAGTCCACAATCTTTACTTAAAATATTCTACATTTATCTAACTATTCTACCTTTTATCTAAACCCACCATCCATTATAATTTCTACTTTATACATTATAACTTTTTCTTCTCTTTCTATCTCTTTCTTTTTTCTTTCTTTTTGTCTGATGAAGATTACTTTTAATAATGTTTAATATTATCTTAGTATTGTTATCGTTAAGTAATCTATCCTTTGTCAACCAATTCTTTAACTTATTCATTTGTTAAACAAACTCTAATATTTTCAGGTTTCAAATCAGCATGAATAATTCCACATTCTCTATGTAAAAAGTCTAATGCTATGAGAATCTGCTTGATAATTGATTTGCATTAATCAAAATTCAATCCCCTATCTTCTGTTGAATGAGATATTCTTAATAAATTTACACCCAACATCTCAAACACTAATACATAATGTTGTCCAAATGGACCTTTATGTAAAAAGACATGCAATAATTTAACAATATTGATAAATTTTGATTTTTTGTGAATAGTCTGAAGAATCTCAATTTCATTTAATGCCTATTTATTTTCTTAATAATACAGCCTCTTGAAATCTAGGAGCACTTCTTTAAAATCTAAGAGCAACAAAATTATTTGTCTTAAAATCTTTAGCCAACCATATAGTCGAAAGATGGCTAAATTCTAGCTTCTAAATTGTAACATATCTTCCATGAAACACTTCTCCAACAAATACAGGATGAAAACAACCAATTGCATAATTTCTACAGTCTTCAACATCCTCATCTTCATCAGAACAATCAGAAAATTGATCTTAGTAATTTAATCTCAATTCTTCTTACATTATGAATTTATTATAATTAATGGTCAGAATTACAAAGGATAAATGCTCAATGTTTATTGAATATAAATTATAATTAAATACATTCAAGTCTTATTTGAGAGAATATTTTATTGATAAAATTAATCATCAAATAAAAAAATTAATAAATTCTTATCAACAATATAATTTTTCAATTGCTACTTTAGGACTATTATAATTCTGAAACTCTCTCAATTTAAAAGTTTCTTCAAGTATTTTCCTACAATCATAAGCAGGTAAAACATCAGAGATTAAAAAATCATATAATAACTTTAATTCCTTATCATCCTTATTATCATAAAATGGAATTATTGGAATTCCATTCTCAATATGATACCCAAAGCTATATGCTGCATTATCAATTAAAACAATATCTTTCATATCTCTACCTAATACTCTAAGATCTTTAATATGCACTCCATCATTAGTCACTATGCAACTTTCTCTAAATAATTAGGCACTTAAGATTTTCTTATGATCAAGAAATTGAATCACTTAAGAAGCATAACATTAGTGTGAAGCTGTAAATACTACAACTTCACAAACTTCTGATAATTGATTTAAAATCTATTTAGCCCAAGGTCTAATATTGATTCCTGCTGAAACTGTGTCACCAGAAGGAAATGTAATTGGTAAATAAACATCTGATTTTATATTCTAATTTTCGTTGCAATGAATTAGAGTTTCATCAAGATCAAATACCACAGTTTTATGAACTAAATCGTATCAAAAAACTACATTTGCTATTTTTTTGTGGTAAATTTACTATTTTCTTTTGTATACTACTAATAATCGGTTCTGTTTAATTTAAGCAGAAACCTATGCTATTATATGTTTATAAGGCATGGTCTCTATATAACTAACTGAGAGAATCATAAGCTCCGTTGACAGCTTCTATCATAGAGCTTACATAATAAATATTTTCTAAAATAGATTCTTATATTACTTCTTGAAATAGATAAAATTCTATTTTTTGGTGAAAGTGATTTTGTTTATTTAAATGGAGAGATATATTAATTGCTCTTTGAGGAATTTGGTACCTTAACTTAAGTAACAAAGTCATCTAAACTCAAATTTATATTTAATGGTTGTTTTTAATTAAGAATTTGATTGCTATTGGTTTAGATTCTATCAATATTTGCAATTTTTTCTGTTTTAGGTTTTTGTATATATTTATTCTGATCTAGAGACAGTAAATTATATTTTCTATCAGTCTTAGATTTGTTTGTTAATCTAAAAGAATTATCCTTAATTTAACTATTGTTTGTCTTACTATAACTTTATTGTAAGGTTTTGCTGATTAATTAGGTTAGTTGTGACCTATTTTACTCTTTTGATTTGGCAAAAAAGTAACACTTATTTATATATATGTAGATTACCTAATATGATGGATGAGTAGATTTAGGTGTATTAGTCCTAAAACTTGTATTAATAAATGGATTATTCTAAGAAATCTATCTGGAAATAGAGGATTTTTTATCTCTAATAAGTGTACTTAAACTTTATGTTTAGTTTAATTTATTTAGAGTGCTTTTTTAATTCTCAACAGGAGGAATAGTATGTTATTCATATTACTTTGAGAGTTTAAGTTTTAAACCAGAATTGTCCAAGCGAGATGATGATGTTTAATTAATATTAAAATACATTAATTTCTAAAAAAAAGGAAGAAGAGTGGGAAACAAAATATTCTAATTGTTATAATGTATATATTATTTTTCATTTGGTGGTTTCTGCAGCAACTCTTTTAGCTTCTTCAATGACATCTTCAAATGTTCCTTGCATATAGAATGCATTTTCTGGGTATTCATCACCTTCACCATCAAGTAAAGCTAAGATTATCTTAATAAAAAAATACCTCTAAATCCAGCAATAGTATCGCTAAGTGATACGAATTTACCCTTTCTTCCTGAGAAGACTTCAGACATGAAGAATGGTTATGAAAGGAATCTTTGTACTTTTCTGGCTCTGGAAACAGTGAGTTTATCATCTTCAGATAATTCATCCATACCCAAAATGGCAATGATATCTTGAAGTGATTTGTAATCTTACAATAATTTCTAAACTCCTCTTGTAACTGTATAATGTCTAATATTATTTAATTTTAGTAAATTACTTTTCACCTACAATATTTGGGTCCATCATACGAGATGAAGAATCCAATGGGTCGACAGCTGGATAAATACCCAATTCTGTTAATGCTCTTGATAACACAGTTGTAGCATCCAAGTGAGCAAATGTTGTTGCAGGTGCTGGATCTGTAAGATCATCTGCAGGTACATAAATAGCTTAGACTGATGTAATAGATCCCTTCTTTGTTGTTGTAATACGTTCTTATAATTAACCTAAATCTGTTGCCAATGTTGGTTAATAACCGACAGCAGATGGAATACGACCTAACAAGGCTGACACTTCTGAACATGCTTATGTGAATCTGAAAATGTTGTCAATAAAGAGTAACACATCTTTTCCTTCCTCATCTCTGAAATATTCTGCAACTGTTAAACCAGTCAAACCAACTCTGGCTCTAGCACCAGGGGGTTCATTCATTTATCCATAAATAAGAGCACATCTGGATCCACCACTTAAATTGATAACTCCTGATGCAACCATTTCATGATAAAGATCATTTCCTTCTCTTGTTCTTTCCCCTACACCTGCAAATACTGAATAACCACCATGAGCTTTAGCTACATTATTAATCAATTCTTAAATAAGCACTGTTTTTCCTACTCCTGCACCACCGAACAATCCAATCTTTCCTCCTCTTGCATATGGAGCCAATAAATCTACCACCTTGATACCAGTGATCAAAATTTCAGCACCACTACCTTGATCTACAAAACTTGGAGCTTCTCTGTGAATAGGATATCTAATTTTTGTTTCAATTGGGCCTCTTTCGTCAATTGGATCACCAATGACATTCATAATACGTCCCAAAGTTTCTGGACCAACTGGAATTGTAATTGGACCTCCTAAATCTGAAACTGGTTAACCACGAATCAATCCTTCAGTGGAATCCATGGCAATTGTTCTAACTCTACTATCACCCAAATGTTAAGCCACTTCCAAGATCAATTTATGACTTGTTCCTTACACTTACAATGCATTTAAGATTGGAGGAAGAGGTCCATCAAACTGTACGTCGACGACAGCACCAATCACTTAAGCGATTTATCCTGTTGTAGTGGTCGCTGCTTTGCCTGTCTCTGCTTGCTTCTTAGCAGCGGAGAATCCTATTATACTCTTTATCTTTAATATCTACCTAGACGCATCTATTTGGCTAATGCCCTTGTGAGCATTTTATTTATTTAAATAATTTTTAGATATTCTCATAAAGGATATTCAAAATTTAAATAAGCGATTTATCAATTAATTACATGATGTCTCTCTCATTTCTTCCATTCAACCATGTCCTCTCTATATACAATCCATATATTTTTCAATAATTAATCTAGAATACTTTTTCAATTTATCATATCCCCCTCTCCCTTAATCAATCCTATTAAATTGTCTCTTTCAAATATGCATTATTAAATCTATCCTTTTTATATATAATTATCTTTTTAGATAATAAATATATATTCATTATTCATATCTCATTTCACATCTGATTTCATTTTTTTCAGTCCTTCTATTACAATCTATTAGAAACCCTTGAAATTGCCATTGTATTCTTCAAATCCTTTAAAATATTTAGCAAACACATGACTTTTCTTTAATGAAAAATAGATACTTTGAAAATTGGAAAAGCTTGGTCTACTTTGATTACCCAAAATTTAGTCCTGGTACTACTTAACCATCTCTCACATCAAGCTAATTTATTAACAATTTCTACCTCCTATCTTGTACGAGCTGTAGCAAGTGATTAAAGTACATGTTCTTAGAATTCAAGGTGAGCTTTTTATTCAGCTGCGTCTCTATTTAATTGTTATAACAATTATCATACTTTAAACATGCAATAGCATCATTATAGGATTTAAGAAACACTTTAGCCTCATAATAGGGTTACTCTGTGAACATAATTTTTAATAAAATAAATCAAATCAGTCTTAAATTAGGCAATCCTACGAATATAAAATTGTGAGTATAGATTCTCTTTTTATCAATTTGAATCTCCTTCAGATTTTAAGTTTCTTACACAGGTTCTACCTTACCACCTTTCTTTATTTCCACTTATTATGGTTTCTTGTCAATTATATTTCCATTCTCATCCTAATATTTTATAATTGGAGCCTAAAAATAATAATAAGTATTCTATACCTTATATCTTTACAAACATGCAGCTACATAAATATCTTCTGTTAGTTATTTGACCAAATTTTCAAAAGCCTTTAAGAATTCTACAATTTATGGTGACCATTAAGTAGTTAAAATTGTACTTACATCAATTAGAGTCAAAAATACAGATATTTTGAAATTCTACTCTAAAATGTGAGTCTTCTCACCATCTGGATCTAAAGATGAGAACTTTTCAATTAAACTTTTTTTTGCATTCATCTTATCAAATATTACCCAAAATTTAGATGTATTAATTTCAGAAAGGTCAACAACTACTTTTGAAGATAAAATGTTTAACACTCCAGGAGATCCATACCAGAAAATAGAAGAACCTGTTTAAGCATATTTTTACAATTCTCCCAATGATGCTAATCTACTTTAAGAAAATGTCTAAATAATATATAAAATAATATAATTACTCCTTCAAATTTTAATTAAGGTGTAGTTTTTTAAATTTCACCTAATGTTTTTTGTAAATTAAATTCATCCAAATTTAAATCCTAATCTTCTGTCTTAAAATCATATGTAAGATATTTTAACTTGTCTTTTTCTATTCCTTTTTAACTATTATTTAATTAAACTTAATAACCAACACTTTTTAGTCTTCTAACATATACAGCCATACTAAAATCTCTTGACATTGCAACTATCTTCTAAAATACACTTAATTATTCAATAGGATAATCAAAGAACTTTGGATCTATAAGTAAAACTACAGTGTCAATTTTACCAGGTGCTTATTCCAAAGGAGATTCATATAAAGCTAACTCATCCTTTCCTGGTTTCCCTTTAGTTTACTTTCCTTAATCTTTTTTAGGAGGAGGTGCTTTTGGATCAATTACAGGAGGAGGCACTTCCTCTTAAGTGTTTATATTTTCATCTATCAATTAAGGTATAAAACTCATGAATTATTCTACATCTTAACAAAATTTAGTGTATTCCTTTTCCATGTCATCCTCTAATTTTATGAAATCTTATTATTAAATTATTGGTGTTTTAATTAAATTATTTTTAATCTAATCTAAATTAGCTTTCATTTAATTCATTTAATCATGAGTTTTAGAATCAAGTGGAATTCTTTAAACTTTGTAAACAGGAGTTTTTGTATTATGTAAATATCCTAAATAAATACATGTTTTATTTTGACTCATTTACATAATTAGAAATCCAGCACTCTATTATAATTAAGCTTAAAGTTCTGTTAATGGAAATATCATTAAATTATCCCATAATTTATTTGCTTCAGTTAATAATTTAATGGCATCTTAATTAAGAAATCCACAGACAGAGTTTATCATTTTGATTAATCTAATATATACTATCATTTTATGCTTTCCAAAGAATGATTGCCTAACCATATTAAACATTTATTCACAAAATGCAAAATGTTAAAACTTACATAAATAATCATAAGATATTTCTGGACTTTTAATTCCTAAAATATCTAAAGCAGATTCATAAAGCATTTTCAAATAAAAGTTCATTTACTTAAATCCAAATATACTCCATTCTAATGGAATAGTTGTGTTGTCACCTTTAGTTTTCAATACTGTAAATGATTTAGATTCAATTTCTTTTATCAATTTTAACACACTTTATAAGGCATCAGTCTTATAATCAAATTAATTGTCATCATCTTACTATAATTAAACAATTTAATCTGGTTCTTAGATAGGTATTTCCCATACATCATCTAATTACTATTTACTTATAGCTAGATATCTTTTTGCTCTTACTAATTCAATTTCAGCTATTGTATACCAAAATGAATCTTTTTTCAATTATTTCAAAGTAGATAATAATATAGCAGTTGCTTTTTCAAAACTCTCCAATCTTTAAGGTAATGGCTATATTGCTCTCTATATTTTAATAGTTAATTATGTTAAAAATTTCTAAAGAGGTTCATAATTGCTTAATTATTCGATTGGCTTGTCTTCTACTTAATCATTATTATTGTCATCATCAGAACCTTATAGATCAGGTAATTACATCTATTTTCGTAGCCACTTAATCAATCCCATTTCAGTAAAACAAGAAGCCATTACTACACGTATTTTAGCTTATAAATCCATAATTGGTGATCTTATTGATTCTGATTCTTTTTCAATAAGGAGTGTATATTTTAATAAAGATCTACTTTATTATTCTAATGGTTTTAGTATTGAATTCTGTAACCTTTAAATAATTTTAAAATAAATTTCAACTTGATCAATTTTAGTATAATTTTTATTTCGAACAAATAAAAGTATTTTATTTACTAAATTTAAGATCAAATCCATTTAATGTGTCATAAATCCTCCATGTTATATACATTTTAAAGATTTCTCTAAATTATCTATAATTTATTTGAATGTTTCATAGGAAAATTCTTTAAATAAATCCTTTGTTGATATTTTAGATTACAAAATGTATAAAGTTGTTAATGTTTAATAAATCTATAATTTATTTGGTGAATAATTGGGTTTATTTAAGACTTCCAAGAGTACTTCTGTAATTTATTTTAAAAATGATCTAATATCATCATATTTCCCTAATTTATACAACGTTTTATATGTTTCAATAGATGAAACTTCCCATTAACTTACAATTTTAATCAATTTATGAGAAAGCTTGTGATTTTCAATAGAATCTCTGAATTCACCTTCTAAAAATGCAATTTATCCTTAAAGACATAATATTCTGCCCATCAACTCTAAATCTGAAACAATCTTTGCATGTTTATGAGATTCAGCTAATAATTCTTTTGCTCTATATATTTCCCCTTAAAAAATTAATTCATTGCCTAAATCAGTAAGAATAGTATAAATAAATATTTCACTAATAATATTGGCCTAAGGAAGATTTTATTCCATTATGTCAGCTGGTCTTGATCTATTTTATTATAAAACACTAGATTCAGTTTTTGCAAGCATTTATTTTTTTTCTTGGTCAGTCAATTTAAATTTAACAATATTAGATTATTAATACATTTATTCTGCTTCATTATGAAATCCTACTTAATGTAAACATTTACTAAATCTTACATCAATTAATCTATCTAAATAAGAATTATTTAATATTTCCTTAACAAAAAATTTCTAAAAAACAAAAATTGGAACACTATGAATTTAAAGTCCATATTTTTCAAAAATACTTATTAAATTGTTTATATAAGTATATGTTAATTAAGCCTTATCAAATAAGTATTTACCCATAAAATTAAAATCTTCATAACTTTTAACTCTTTCTAAGAATTCTTTACTAAATTATAATTTAATCCAATCTTAAATACAAGTTGGTAAAAGATATCTAGGTGAAAAATCATCTTATTATTAAGGTTTTGGTTATTATTATTGTTATTTACTTGTTTTTTCATCTATAATATTAGTGTATTTGGCAGCATTCTCTTCAAATTCATTCATAGTTTAAAATGAAATTTCAATCATTTTAATTAAGAATACTTTAGCATCTATTGCATATTAAATAGATTATTCCATTGTATCTGCAATCATAGCTAACATAATATGAATTCTCATTAATCTTTCATAATGAGCACAATTCAATCTATTAGGATTAGCTTCCTCTTCTCTTGGTCTGAATATTTTTGATTTTTATTTATTACTTTTGATTGTTGTAGTTCTAACATTTGCAGCTCTTGAAAATCTTTAATTACTTGATTTCTATCCTGATATTTATGACTTTTATTCTTTGCTTTTATTTTACTTAACAGTATTCTTAGTAGTTTTTTTAGTCATTTTAGATTTTTGTTTTGATTATTTAGAAACTGTAGACTTTTTACCTCTTGTACTTCTACTAAAAATAGTTGATGAATTCTATTCTTCATCTCCTTCTTCTTCTTCTTCATCTTCTTCCATTTCAATTTCTATTAATGTATCTGCAGCTTACATTAAATTCTCTATAACCAATTGTTTTTCATTACCATTTCTTAATAACCATTCTGAAAATTCTATTAATACTTCAACTATTTCAACAGATGAATCTTTCTTTAATAATTCAATAGCTTTATTATATGCTGTATATTATTTATAAAGATTATTTGATACTCTTGCCAATCTAATCCAAACTTTAGCTTATAATGATGAATCTGCTTCTTTCATATTTACAATAGCCTATAATTCATTTTTACCTTATTTACTCATAAAAATCATTTTAGCTTCCCATATAGGTTTTGACATATTCTTAGGTACTAATTCAAATACCATATCTGCTGCCATTTCACCTAATTTATAATCTTCATTTTCTAATGCACTTTTAAATAATAATTATGCTAATAGTAATACTAAATCAGGTTCACTTTTTTCTTTACATTCTTTTAAGTAATTTAAACATGAATATACTGGTTTAATTAAATGCTTTCTATTTTATGCACTCTCTTCTAATCTAGCACACAAATTCCAAACTTATTTTGATGCATCCAAAACTAAACTATTAATACCTGCCTTTAATCCTTTATTTGCAGCTTCAATTGCATGAAATAAACTTGAAAATAACAATGATTCTTAAGATTCAGTTTCTTATGTTTCTGAATTAAGCATTCTTAATAGATTTTCACTATATATATATTCAGCCAAAGAATACCATCTCAAACGAGAAGCTGGAATAGTTGATAAATCTGCTGTTAATAATTATAAAGAGTATTATACACATCTCAATGAATATTTATACATTAAAATAGTTTCTTCATTTAATGCTAATCTTGCTAATCTAGCCCATAATTCAGCATGTAATTCTAATTCAGTTTCATCATTTTCTTTTGCTGTCCAACTAACAAGTGTTTCAAAACATTTTTTAATAAGATCTTATGTTTAAGCTTTATTGGTTGAATTTTAAATAATTTCTAATTATGAAACAACATCAAAAATAACACTATCAGATGATGATTATTATGGTTATTTAGTACCTTTTTTATCTTATTAAGTTCCAGGTTTAGCTGCATTAGTTTTAGCTGTTCCAGACACTCTTGCTTTAATTGAATTAATCAATTTACGAGTGTGAGGTGATAAAGGAGTCAAAAGAAGAGCTTCGCAAACTCTCATAACTTCATCATATTAAGATTTCCCTTCCATTAATCTTGCATACACTAAACCTATATTAGCTAATACTTAAATCTTTGTATCAATATCATAATCATTTATTAATTTTTTTTCAATTTCTTTTAAAGAATTCTTCATTATTTCAAAGAATTCTTTCAATAAATTTGTAATTTCTGGTAACAATTTGCTATCATTAATAGGATTACGGAATATTGTAAGAAAATTATTCCAAATATATATAGCTCCATTAAATACTAACCAAGTTTATTTGATAGAATCTGCTAATTTTAAACCTTTAACAAAATTAGAACACATTTTTCTTTTTAAAGATAATACTTAATCTTTTTTTTCTTAACTTAATTCTTCTATATTTTCATTCTCTTCTACTCTAATAGGATCAGCAAATGGTATTTCAAAATTATCTTTAATTAAATTATCTATAATCATTTATGCCATTCTATATTAACATTCTACTTGAGCAAGTATCATTTCAGATGCATTTTTTACGTCCCAAGTATCATTACATACAAATTCACAAGCTTTAAATGCTAAATCATTAAATTCCCATTCAAATGCTAATCTAGCAATTTCAGCTGCTAATAATTTCTTTTATTTAAATTAATATAAATTTTCTTATTTTTTTAATACTTTTTCTCTATTTTATTCTTCTTCAACTAAATCTAATTTAGTATCATACCAATATTCCTATTCTTACAAATTAACAATAGTTCCNTTTAAGTAATTTAAACATGAATATACTGGTTTAATTAAATGCTTTCTATTTTATGCACTCTCTTCTAATCTAGCACACAAATTCCAAACTTATTTTGATGCATCCAAAACTAAACTATTAATACCTGCCTTTAATCCTTTATTTGCAGCTTCAATTGCATGAAATAAACTTGAAAATAACAATGATTCTTAAGATTCAGTTTCTTATGTTTCTGAATTAAGCATTCTTAATAGATTTTCACTATATATATATTCAGCCAAAGAATACCATCTCAAACGAGAAGCTGGAATAGTTGATAAATCTGCTGTTAATAATTATAAAGAGTATTATACACATCTCAATGAATATTTATACATTAAAATAGTTTCTTCATTTAATGCTAATCTTGCTAATCTAGCCCATAATTCAGCATGTAATTCTAATTCAGTTTCATCATTTTCTTTTGCTGTCCAACTAACAAGTGTTTCAAAACATTTTTTAATAAGATCTTATGTTTAAGCTTTATTGGTTGAATTTTAAATAATTTCTAATTATGAAACAACATCAAAAATAACACTATCAGATGATGATTATTATGGTTATTTAGTACCTTTTTTATCTTATTAAGTTCCAGGTTTAGCTGCATTAGTTTTAGCTGTTCCAGACACTCTTGCTTTAATTGAATTAATCAATTTACGAGTGTGAGGTGATAAAGGAGTCAAAAGAAGAGCTTCGCAAACTCTCATAACTTCATCATATTAAGATTTCCCTTCCATTAATCTTGCATACACTAAACCTATATTAGCTAATACTTAAATCTTTGTATCAATATCATAATCATTTATTAATTTTTTTTCAATTTCTTTTAAAGAATTCTTCATTATTTCAAAGAATTCTTTCAATAAATTTGTAATTTCTGGTAACAATTTGCTATCATTAATAGGATTACGGAATATTGTAAGAAAATTATTCCAAATATATATAGCTCCATTAAATACTAACCAAGTTTATTTGATAGAATCTGCTAATTTTAAACCTTTAACAAAATTAGAACACATTTTTCTTTTTAAAGATAATACTTAATCTTTTTTTTCTTAACTTAATTCTTCTATATTTTCATTCTCTTCTACTCTAATAGGATCAGCAAATGGTATTTCAAAATTATCTTTAATTAAATTATCTATAATCATTTATGCCATTCTATATTAACATTCTACTTGAGCAAGTATCATTTCAGATGCATTTTTTACGTCCCAAGTATCATTACATACAAATTCACAAGCTTTAAATGCTAAATCATTAAATTCCCATTCAAATGCTAATCTAGCAATTTCAGCTGCTAATAATTTCTTTTATTTAAATTAATATAAATTTTCTTATTTTTTTAATACTTTTTCTCTATTTTATTCTTCTTCAACTAAATCTAATTTAGTATCATACCAATATTCCTATTCTTACAAATTAACAATAGTTCCCAAACATTTCTATAAAATATCTATTCTTAAATTTTCAGATTTAGCTGCTTATACATTCTCTAATTAAGTAATTACTCTTTCAATATCATTTTTAGGTTCTTAATAAATATTTAATTTTAATCTAATCTTTTCTTCTAAATTCCTTAGATATTTATCATAAGGTCTTTAATATAAACCTAAATCTTCACCCTCATCATATTTAAATTGCACTTTCCCTAATGGTACACTATAATCTAATTGTAATGCTTTTTTTATATGTTATTCTGCTTTCACAGCTAAATCCTCTTATAAATCACTCTTTGCTAATTCAATATGGAAATTGACTCTTAATGCATGATCTACACATTATAATTGTTCTAATAGTTAACAAGCCATAGAAAATGCCTTATATACATGAATTCTATATTAAGCATTTAAAAATGGTAATGATATATTCCAAATTAATACAGCTCCTTCAAAAATGAGATCAGGATCATTTAATTTTTTATTTGTTACCATAACTTTCTCCATAGTTTTTAATGCTTCTATTCTTCTTTCAACTTCTTGCATTTTAATTTATAAAGAATTCAATCTCATTCCTGTCTTATTATCAATTAATGGACCTGCTTTCTTTATGAATAATTCTGCCTTATTATATTCATGTAAAATGTAGGCCTTTTAATGTAGTTATCTAACTCTACTCAAAAATGCAGTAATTGAATCAGCTATATTTACTAAATTATATTGTAATGCTACTCTTCCTGATTCAGCCAATCTTTCTTAAAATACTGGTGCTAACTTATTAGTAGCTGCTACTTCATTTCCAGGTAATACAGCACTTGAAATANGCACATTTTTCTTTTTAAAGATAATACTTAATCTTTTTTTTCTTAACTTAATTCTTCTATATTTTCATTCTCTTCTACTCTAATAGGATCAGCAAAAGGTATTTCAAAATTATCTTTAATTAAATTATCTATAATCATTTATGCCATTCTATATTAACATTCTACTTGAGCAAGTATCATTTCAGATGCATTTTTTACGTCCCAAGTATCATTACATACAAATTCACAAGCTTTAAATGCTAAATCATTAAATTCCCATTCAAATGCTAATCTAGCAATTTCAGCTGCTAATAATTTCTTTTATTTAAATTAATATAAATTTTCTTATTTTTTTAATACTTTTTCTCTATTTTATTCTTCTTCAACTAAATCTAATTTAGTATCATACCAATATTCCTATTCTTACAAATTAACAATAGTTCCCAAACATTTCTATAAAATATCTATTCTTAAATTTTCAGATTTAGCTGCTTATACATTCTCTAATTAAGTAATTACTCTTTCAATATCATTTTTAGGTTCTTAATAAATATTTAATTTTAATCTAATCTTTTCTTCTAAATTCCTTAGATATTTATCATAAGGTCTTTAATATAAACCTAAATCTTCACCCTCATCATATTTAAATTGCACTTTCCCTAATGGTACACTATAATCTAATTGTAATGCTTTTTTTATATGTTATTCTGCTTTCACAGCTAAATCCTCTTATAAATCACTCTTTGCTAATTCAATATGGAAATTGACTCTTAATGCATGATCTACACATTATAATTGTTCTAATAGTTAACAAGCCATAGAAAATGCCTTATATACATGAATTCTATATTAAGCATTTAAAAATGGTAATGATATATTCCAAATTAATACAGCTCCTTCAAAAATGAGATCAGGATCATTTAATTTTTTATTTGTTACCATAACTTTCTCCATAGTTTTTAATGCTTCTATTCTTCTTTCAACTTCTTGCATTTTAATTTATAAAGAATTCAATCTCATTCCTGTCTTATTATCAATTAATGGACCTGCTTTCTTTATGAATAATTCTGCCTTATTATATTCATGTAAAATGTAGGCCTTTTAATGTAGTTATCTAACTCTACTCAAAAATGCAGTAATTGAATCAGCTATATTTACTAAATTATATTGTAGTGCTACTCTTCCTGATTCAGCCAATCTTTCTTAAAATACTGGTGCTAACTTATTAGTAGCTGCTACTTCATTTCCAGGTAATACAGCACTTGAAATAGAATTGATTAGATTTATTAATTCCTTTTCAACTTAAGCTTCAGGAATCAAACCACTTCTCATTTTCTAAAGCATAAATAATGATTTCCAAGCTTTCTCTGATGGAGCAGATTCTGATTCCTTAAATGCTGAATCCAATGCTTATTTATATTCCTTACCAATATGTATTCTTAATCTTAATAGTGAATTCTAAAAATCACAATCTCCTTTCTTTTTTGTTGTTTCCCATAGTTTATCTAATAATTTAAATGAATCAGCTTTCCTATCATCATATAAACAATAAAATAAAAGCCAAGTAAATCTACATCTCCAATCATAATCTGCTTCATCTACTTCTTCAAACATTCTATCTATTTTATCCAAAATATCAACAAATGATAATTACCATTATGGTTTAAGCATAGGTCTAATAATATTATAAACACAAATGGAAGCATTATAAATAAGAAATCCATATTTTTATTTATTTTCTGGTTTAGAAATAATATCTAATCCTTATTAAACAAATGTTAATGACAATTTCAAATTTTTGATCATGTCTTCTGCTTTCAATAGTCTATCATGACCATTCATAGATATAAGTCTAGCTTTTATGAACAAAGCTCTAATGTAAAACTGTCCCTAAGAAGAGTTGCGTTAAAAATAAAGATCTATATATTATTGAGCTATATGTTCTTTATCTGGTACAACAAGACAAGCCTCACAATACTTTATGATTACTTCTTAAGAAATATCTAAAAACGAGGATCTGTTTTATTTACATATTTTGAATACCTAATATTTTTCTTTAGTATTTAGTTGATCTTATCTATACAATCTTATCCCTGACTTAGAAATGTTTCATTATCATCCTTATGATCAATAAAGAAACGAGCTTCTGTAATTAAGTTATCAATAATGTACTCCTCATTACTCATTTTTAATTAAATATTAATGTTGAATATATATAATAAATCAAGAATAGAGGTTCCTTTTTACTTCTCTCATTTTGATGATCTCTTACACATTTATTTGTGGTTTAGGAAGAGAAGGATCCTTTTATTTTTTCATTGAGGAAGTCTATGATTTACTATAATATGTATAAATTGAATACTTGGAAAAAGTATAAAAATTGTTTAACTAACGAGGTTATTCATCTTCATCATAATTTTATGAATTATTTAAAGATTTTTTGGATTAATTAGTATGCATTGGAGATTCTTTTCTTGAATGAACAATATTTTATATATTTGAAAAAGCATGATTAGATTGTTATTGTTCCCCTTAGAGAATCTTTTAGAGACTAATAAGATCTTTGGCTACACTTTATAATTTTAATCCATCATTAGGTTAGGACAATGCATCAATAATATTATCAACAGAAGCTAATAATATAAGAATAATTAAATACATTTTACATAATCCATTAAATTTGAATTTTCATGATTTAATAATAAATTATTTAATCTTTATATCTCTTAATCTTATTCTTAATTAATTAGAGTTAATTATTCTATCTGAGATTCATAATCTTATAAATTCTCCTTTGTAATATTATAGGTTTCTTAACCATCTTAAGTAACACAATCTTTAATTTTATTCTATCTAATTGATTAAATCTATTGAATATTTGGTAGATTGCCTCCCATTTAATTAACATAATCTTCTAATTATTAAACTCTTTATATTTTTTAATCTAACATAGTTTCTGTTTCTCTATGAATTCTATCATAAGCATCAAGTTCATCTTATAATTAGACTATTGTTTCATCTCTTTCATTTAACCTAGTTGTCAATGCAATCATAATATCTCTTTATTTGAGAGTTAATTATTTGTATCTATCAACTTAAACCTTATCTTCTTCTAATTATGATCTTTCTTTTTCTAATTCTGTTATCTTTTTTTCATATTAAGCTCTAATTAATTTCTATTATTCTTCAATAGCATTTCTAAATTATGGACTATTTTCAATATTACATCCACCAATTAACATTTAACTATTAATTTATCGAATCTTTTCTTCTAACTTTTTCTTTTCCTCTCTTTCAATAAAAAATTATTTGCTTCTTGCTTCAAGTGCAGCCATAGCAGCATTCTTATCCTATTCTGCTCTCTTTTTATCTTCTTCTAATTAACTTAATTTTGTCGAATCTATAATAGTTTTATTCTTTTCTGAAAGTTCTTTTCTTAATCTTTATAATTCACATTCATATTTTCTTAAAAGTGCTTTTTGATCCACATCTTCATTAATTGTAGCTTTATTTTTGATATTTTTAGCTCTATTTGCAAATTTAACAGAACTTAAAGTTTCAAGAAAAGCATCAATAGCTGGTGATATCATTCCCATCATAGTTGTTTTACAATTACCACCTAAAGAATCTTCTAAAAGACGTGTAATTTTTGAATCTCTATAAGGAATATGTGTTTTTTATTCAATTAATGCAGATATCACATTACCTAAACAACTTAATGATTAATTGATTTTTTTAGATTCTTCTAATCTTCTACCTGTAGCACCAGTAACTCTTACTCTTTCACTACCAGCTAAATCTACTAAATTTAATTTTCCAACTTTTATAGATTTATGATTATCAATTTCTGTCATCTATTCAACAATTATTATAAAAACAGCATGAGATCTACTGCTTACATCATTCATCTTTGTACTTGCTGTGGCTCTAGATTAAGCTCCTTTTTATATTAAAGAATAAATTTCAGAAGGATTTCGTACTGCCCATTCAGATAGACCTTCAACAAATACTCCTCTTTTCTTGTCTTCTCGAATATGTAAATTTTATCTATCACTCCTTAGTAAATCACTTACTACTTCATTATATATTTAGAGATAACTCACACGAACCATAAAGGTTGTAGATTCATTGGATCCATTAGAAATGTGCTTAAAGATTTCCTCAATTGCTCTTGGAATAATACCTCTTTAAGGATCTACACAATTGTATTTGAATCCCTCCATTGTAAATGTCTTACCTGTACCAGTCTATCCATATGCCATAATAGTGGCGTTAAAACCCTAAAGTGCAGAAAGTACTGCATGTCTTGCTGTATTATCATATACTTCTTCTTGTGTGTTATCTTAATCGTACACATAATCAAATGAGAAAGTATGCATTGTATAACTATTAGGATTATTGAGGTATTCTTCAAGATGTTCTGGATCAACCAAATCAATGTTATAATATTCGTAAAGGCATATTTTTTTATGATCAGGAGACACTTAAATAGTGGATATGAAACGTCCATCTGTTACTTCTCTCTATAAAGGAGGTCTTACACGAACTACAACTTTAAAATTGTCATTCGAAGTTAATTGCTTTGCTGAATATGATGACATAGGACTTGAATCATAAAAGTTAGTTTGAGAAGTCGTTTAACTTAATGATGATGTTGACATCTTAGGAAAAGAGGTATTCATGATCGTTAAAATTTAAAATATATTAATTAATAAAAATACATAAAAATGAATTTCTTTCATCCACTTCTACAAACTCTTTAATGTAAGTATCTCTATTTCTATTTGTTTAGTCATGCGTTTCAATCTCAGTGCAGATAGATAACAAACTACTCTAAATCTCCTTAATCAACCTATCAAAGTTGAAGAGAACGACTAACTCCTCCCTCCTATATATCAAATGACGTAATAGGAACTATTATAACGACACATTGTTGATTCAGCAACTCATGGATTATAAATATAGACTCTTCCAAAGGAATAAGACCCACCAAAAACAATCAATAAGAAAATGTATGTTGTTTAAATATCTCTTAGAAGTAAAAAAGCCAATACTTGTGGTCATCCAGACAAAGAACATTATGCTAAAGGAATGTGCAACAATTGTTATCATCGTTTAGGTAGAAACAAATAACCTTGGTTATGTTCACACAAAAAATTATATGCATGTAAATAATCATCTTGATCTTCTAGGTGGACTTTGTTAAAATTGCTATATCAATCAATATAACAAAAAAAGAAGAGTCGAAAATCAAGATTAATAAGATTCAGAATTTAACAATTAGTCTTGCATACCCAAAACAGACAATTGATACCTCATTTTATTCAATTTGTAATTTTTTCATATCTTTTTCATTTTATTTTCTCTTTTTTAATCATTAAATAATATTCTTATATTAATTAAAGAATATTATTATGACTTTTAAAAATATCATTAATTATAGACATTCCTGAATTTATTAATTATTATGCTTCTACTTAATAGCTTAATTCTCATAAATTAACACTCATTTTTTAGAAACAAAAATATTCCTAAAATATATATATATTTACTAGAACTTTGTTCCTGAATCTTAAATTATATTTTTTCTTTAAAATACTAAATCTCATTGTTTTATTTAATTGATTGAATACAATTTTAGATCAAAAATATTGAAGATATAATATCATCATATATTTTGTGATAAAAGTAGAAATAAAGTTTTATTGTTTTAACGAATATAAATATTTAAAATAAAAAGATCAACACTTTATGTCAAGCAAAAAGAGCATTAAATAAAAGGAAAACATATCTATTGATAGTAGATTGAATATTTTGGAAAGTAGTATCCTTGATTAATTTAAGCAAATCTGAATAGAGTTTGTATGTAACAAGATGCTTTGATGCCTATTGTCAATGAAATCCCTCATGTCTAAAAGTTGGAATAATAAATTAAAACACTCTTAAAAAAGCAAGAAGAATTAGAAAAGATAAGGGATAAATCAAGAGAAACATCAACCAACACTAGCTTTAGTGATTTCAAAAGTAATAACTAAAATAAGCCATATGAAAAACAGTTGAATGATTTAACATTGAAGATGAACTATTTGGATAATCAATTACAGGAATTATAGAAAAAGAGTTAAGGAAGAGTTGAATAGTAATTCAAAATGTTTTCAGATACCCAAGATATCTAAAGATTAGAATAATTTATTACTGAAGAATTAAATAATTTTAGAAGTGAAGTTCAATTAGAATACAAAAACATATACAAAGTAATTATAATAAATTATCTTCAGGAACTTAATGGCTTAAGATGTGATCTCGAATATATTATGAATAATACTAAGAAGAATAAAGTCACTTAAAAGATTTAGTCTATGAATGTTAGTCCAGATGATAAGCTCTTTGTTATTAACTTATTGGAATAAGAGACGATCATTGAAGAATTAGATCATTATGAGAATGAGAATACTTTCAGATTGTTATATGAATTGGATTATTTTGAGTAATAAAGGGAATCCATATCGAATTTGGAACCACAATAAACTCAAAGAGAAAGTCTATATTTAGAAGAAAAATTAATTTCTTTAAAATATTAATTAGCTGCTTCAAAAAGAAAGTATTTATTTGAGATTAAGAAAATTGAACATAAATTTTAAGTGATTAACGAAATTATTGAATAGAATCAAAAATATCTCAACTATTAATAATAAATAAATATTTTAACTCAAAGAATGAGTAAGATTGTCACAAGAGTCCATTAAAATATAGAATGTATATTCTAAAAGATTAGTTCCCTAGATAAGAGATGATAATAGTTAATATATAAATATAAGATTATTGAATTACATAGTTCATAAAACAAATTAAATTCAATTATCAACTATTTAGTAGATTACTAAGTTTAATTTTTTCTTGTTGTGATATAATCTTGAAATATATCCAGGAAAGTAAAAATAAATTTTTTTTTTTATGATAAATTATATTATTCTTGACTATTATTTTAATTTAAGTTTAAACTTCTTTGATATCTCTATTTTTATTTGGATGACAAAATCAAATATTATTTAAAAAAAGGCTTTACAAAAATTTTCAGAGGAGCTTTTGTAATTCACTCCTAATAATTCATAATAATTCATTTAATATTAAATCATTTCAGGAATCATTATCATTATCATCATTATCCTTATTCTCTTCTTATTGC